GCTTTGCTAAGCTTGTTCTAAGTAGGTGCTTTAGACCACTGAGCCATCTCACCAGCCCCCCCTTTTTTTTTTTTTAATGTATTTTAGTACAGGATCTACAGGGTCTCACTACACAGATTGGACTCGTAGTGATTCTCCTGTTTTCAGCCTCCCAAGAGCTGGGATTACAGGGTCACACCACCATGCCCAGTCTCAGTGTGCTCCGGGATCACACCCGGTCTCTGCATCTGTCTAAGCAGGTGCTTTAGTCTGCTGAGCTATCTGGCCCTATCTGGCCATCCCTTCTGTTGTGTTCTTTGTCAAATGAAATCCCTTTAGCTGTTCACATTGGTGCATACTGTAATTCCAGCAGTCTGAGGCTGAGACAGGAGAATCCTGTGTTGAAGCCTCCCTAGGTGATTTAGGGAGATCCTGTCTCAAAGAAAAAGGAAGAAGAATGGGGATGCAGCTCAGTGCAAAGACGCCTTGGCTCAGTGCCATTATCCCATACCTTATAGAGTCTATAAAAAATGGGATAACTTCAAAAACAACTTTTATTTCAGACGGTGCTTAAGAATCAAAACTTCAACACAGAATCACAATCTGGCTGCAAACTTCAGGAGCTCAAAGCCAAGCATTTTGTGAAGAAAGACACTGCCACCTACTGGCCCTTGGACTGGCGTGGCAAGTTATGCACCTGCCAAGGCTGCATGGTAAGTGGCTGAGGTGGGTACCTGTATGTTTGGCGCACTGAAAAGTATATTTATAGAACTGATGTAGGAATGTAGGGGACTTTTTTTCCTTTCAGTCTTTTGAGATGGGGTTCCCTGTGTAGCCCTGGCTGGCCTAAAACTCATCGCAGGATCTTCCTACCTCAGCCTCCTGAATGCTGGGATTATAGGCATGTGCTGCCATGCCTGGCTTTTTCAAATTTTTTCTGTTAAGCAAATTTTTGTACCTGAATTATTACAGAAAACACAAATTATGTAGTATTATATAGGAAATTTTGTTCACTTATCTTTTAATGGAAAATATGAGTTTATAAAAGATCTTTCTTTCTTTTGACTAAATCTCACTGTTGAAATTCATGATCTTCCTGACTCAGCCTCCCAGTTAACTTTGATTGCAGGCAGGGGTACTATATATGGCTGAGTGAGTGGTTTTTAAATAAGGACCTCATAGACCATACGGCATCCACTGAGAAGTTGGGAGATTGTTGAAAAAGGTCCAGAGGAAACAATAGAAATTCTTCAAGCAACTCTATGCTAAGAAGATCACCATTTTTCTAGGTGTTAATTTAAAAATAAATTTTAGAAGTTCCCATGAGGGCCGGCCGAGGAGATAGCTCAGTAGAATAAGCGCTTGCCTGGCAAGCACAAGGGCCTGAGTTCAATCCCCGGTTCCGCAAAAAAAAAAAAAAAAAAAGTTCCCATGAAACTGACTTTCTGAAAATGATATGCAGTTCTAATGGGGAAACTGGTTTTATTTTTTAAAGAAAATGTATGGCGATCTAGATGTCCTGTTCCTGACAGATGAATATGACACGGTTCTGGCTTACGAGAACAAAGGCAAGATTGACCAGGCAACCGAGAGGAGGGACCCTTTAATGGATACCCTTAACAGCATGAATAGAGTCCAGCAAGTGGAGCTCATTTGTGGTTAGTACTGTGTGTGTGAAAAAGTTCATAACATTTATTTCACTGTGTAAAAAATGTGAAAGAAGGTAAAAAGTGCCTATTTCCAATTTTAGGTAAAGAAAATTCAAATTTTGAGTTGTGTACTGGGGCTCAACTGTTGCTTGATTTGAATGTTGCTGAGTATTTGGCTCCGAGTACCATGGACTAGTGTTTTGTGCTAAAAGAATTACATGTTTGAGAAACCACAGTTTGTACTATTTTGATTAAGGATAGATATATAAATACAGAATTATAGCAAATTTTTTCCATCCATACAGATAATTTTCACTGAGCATTATATGTCATTTTTTTGAGCAAAGCATGTCATCATTTTGACAGTTCTAGAGCTTGCATTAGTGGTTCACAGGAAACCGCTGGGAGGAAAGCTCTCCCTCACCCCTTAATTGTGGCTTTCTTCATTTTCCCCAGCCCAGCGTGGCCAGCTTATTTCAGAGCTTCTGTCCCAGCCATTTTCCACTTGGACCCCACCACCTTGTGTCCCTTTCATGGCGTTATTTTTCCTCTTTTATTTATAATTTGTAGAGTTTTTCCTTTTACCCTTATTGGACTGAAAGCTTTTTTGATCCTAGCACATGCATTTTTGTAGCTCTCAAAGTGCCTCATGCATAGTGTAAACTGTTGAGTGAATGAATTTTAAACCTTTTTTTTTTTGTAATGCATTTAGTACAGGGATACAGGGTCTGTAGGGTCTCACTACGTAGATCGGAACTGTAGTGATCCTCCTGTTTTCAGCCTCCAAAGCACTGTCAGGTAGGCACTGTGCCAGAGCTACATCCCCAGCCCAGTGTTCCCAATGTCTTACAAATACTCTGAACTTCCTACGTTTTTTCTCTTAAAACAAACAAACAAAAAGAAACCACCCAAAATCAGAGATATCTTCACTCCTATAAAGGGGCACACCACCACGCCCAGTCTCAATCACCAGCTCAGTGTGCCCTGGGGGCGGGGCTGGCATGGCACGCCAGGGATTGAACCCTGGCCACTGCGCTCTGCCTAAGCAGGCACTTTAGTCTGATGAGCTATCAGGCTAGCCCTAAAAACTTAATGTTTAATGAGTCCAAGTTTATTTCAAGCACTAGAATTCCAGAGAAATAGGAAACCCTTTAAAAAACTATTCGCTGGGGGGCCGGGGAGATGGCTCAGTAGAATAAGCGCTTCCCTGGCAAGCTCAAGGGCCTGAGTTCAATCCCCGGTTCCACCAAAATAAAGCAAACCAAAAAACTAGTCGCTGATCTTTATAGGAGTGAAGATATCTCTGATTTTGGGTGGTTTCTTTTTGTTTGTTTGTTTGTTTTAAGAGAAAAAAGTAGGAAGTTCAGAGTATTTGTAAGACATTGGGAACATTGGGCTGGGGATGTAGCTCTGGCACAGTGCCTACTTGACAAGCACAAGTTCTGAATTCAGTTCCTGAAAGAAAAAAAAATGGGAGCATGTTTCTATGCAGGTTTCACTGAAGAAAAATTTGATTTAAACTATTTAACATATTCAGTTGCCAATGGCAAATAAATATTTTATTTTAAAAGCAAGTGACTTACCTAAATTTCAAGTGCTGTTGTGGTTTTATTTAGAATACAATGACTTGAAGAGCGAACTGAAAGACTATCTGAAGAGATTTGCTGATGAAGGCACGGTATGTTGTGAAAGAATCTTAATCACAGCCTTTTACATTTTTAATAGACTGCTTATTTTCTTAGATGGTTCAAGAAGTTCAGTCTAGGAGTTGGGAGTGTAAAGCCCATGTGTGGCAGGAGTGAGGCCTTGGGTTCCATCCCTAGCACCACAGGGCACAACTAGGATAAAAGTCATAGTGTCCTTACGAGTGTAAGGTGGAAACTAAGCGCTCTTGGCCGGCTAGGAGACATGAGTAGGGAGCAGTGAACCCCCACGGACGTGACAGGAGGCCTTACCAACCTCTGGTGGTCAGAAGGGCTGTGGGTGGTGCAGGCAGGTCTGGAAGAGCATCTGTGGCGGAGAAGAAGCTGCGAACCCAGTTCTGACTGCATCCCGACCGTGTGTCCCAGCCCTGAAGTAAGGATCCTGGGGTGGGGGTGGCCGGCCAGGAAGATTTCAAAGCAGATCTACTTTCTGGGTCCTAAGTTCTACTGGGGACTAAAAATTTCTCTTCTAAGAAAACCTACAAGTGTTTGTCTGGCAAGCTCAAGGTCCTGAGTTCAATCCCTGGTACCACCAAAAAAAAAGGACAAAATGTTATATTGGGCCGAGGAGATGGCTCAGTGGAATAAGCACTTCCCTGGCAAGTGCAAGGGCCTGAGTTCAGTACCCCAGTTCTGCCAAAAAAAGAAAAAAGAAAAACCCTACAGTTTTAAGGTAGAGTCTAGAATGTCTCATGTTTTAAATAGGGTTCCAGAGAAATTTACAAGTACTTCTTAGTCTTTTACATATGTTTGTGACAGATTTTTTTAAAAAAAATACCTTTCTGTCTTCCACAGGCAGGTACAGAACAAAAATTAACCTGTCTCCTCATAGCCTAAGACTGTCATTATAAACAGTTAAAAGTTTTGCTCTGCTATAGCCAGAACTCAGACCTTTAGCTTTGATTCTGGGGATAATTTTAAGTTCTAGATGTTCTCAGATAACAGACTAACTGTCTTTTATTTAACTTTTGCATCTGACTATAAAGTGACATTTAGAAACTATAAACTTTGAGACAAAGCAATGAAATGATATATTGTTTATTCATTAGCATTTCTACTCTGCACCTTGGCTGAGAATGTTGGGGGACTTGTAGGCTCCACCCATTGCATGCAGCACCAGAGCTTTTAGCTCTCCAGCCTTGGGGCCTAGAACACATTTCCTCCTGGTGGCTCTCAGGGTTTAATCTTATAACCAAATAGAGACAGATGCTTCATGAGATAAGTGCTCAGTAGAATAAGCGCTTGCCTGGCAAGCACAAGGCCCTGAGTTCAATCCCTGGTACCGCAAAAAAATAAAAATGAAAAAACAAACTGCTAAACATTTGTTTATTAGCACTTTGTGATTGTAGATTCCTGAGCCTCTAGCCTCCTTACTTCCGGCTGTGGTGTTAGCTTTCCAGACCCAAATCCTCGAGTTTGAGTTCCTTATTAGTTGGCCAGCAGTTTCCTTCATGGTGCTTGTGAAGCTGGTGTATCATCTACTGCTGTGTAGCAGAGTGCTGACAGAGGTCTTTTATTTTGAGAATTAAAAAGCTATTTTATTTGTTTTGTTTTGAGACAGGGTCTTGCTCTGCAGTTGAGGCTGGCCTGGAACTCAGTATAGTAGCCCAGACCAGCCTCGAGCTGTTGCCTTTCTCCTGCCTTAGCTTCCTGAGGTGTATGCCACATACCAGCCTGTTCACCTTTAGGAAGGAAGGTGGCATTGCCCTGAGTCACAGCCAGGCAGCAGTGCTCCCTGCCAGGGAAGGGAGGGCGGGTGTCCCTGCGTGTGGGTGGGTTGAGCTCCCTGGCTTCTCCTTTTCCCTTCTACTCACAAGTATTCACATCTTCTTTTTATTTACTTGCCCACCCCACCATCCTTTCTTACCAGTACACATCTGTCACTGTTGTAATTAAAAGAAAATTAATAAAGCTGTCTTTATAATGCTTGCTAGAGAGCTTTCTAACCGATCAGCTGGTATAGACTCCCCCTTGGTGTGAGCACGGTCCCTAGATTGTTCCGGCTTGGCTTTTTAATTTTATTTTATGTGTTTTAATACAGGGACCACAGGATCTCACTACACAGATCAGACTCATAGTGCTCCTCCTTTTTTCAGTCTCCCCAGTGCTGGGATTACAGGCGTACACCACCACGCCCAGTCTCAGTTGCCGTCTCAGTGCGCTGCAGGGGTCAGGAGGACATAGCATGTGGGTGGACTGAACCCCAGTCCCTGCGCCTGTCTAAGCAGGTGCTTTAGTCCTCTGAGCTGTTTGGCCAGCCCTTTTCAGTTCATATTTTCTTTTCATTTTTTCTTATTTTTAATATTTAGTTTGCTTATATCGTTACCACCTTTGTATAATACTCTAAATTCTTTTTCCCATAAAGTAGAAGAAAAATTTATCATTTTTATTGCAGAGTGGATTTACTATTTTTTGTTTTTTTCCTCTTTGTATTTTAGGGAAGGTTCTACAGGGTGTTCAGGTTCTTACTACTAGATCAGACTCATAGTGATCTGCCTGTTTACAGCCTCCCAAGAACTGGGATTACAGGCGTGCCCCACCATGCCCAGTCTCAATTGCTGTCTCAGCGTGAGTGGGGCTGGCATGGCAGAGTGGATTTACTGAAACAAGAGGTTCTATAGTTTTTTCCCCTATTATTTTTGTGTTTATATAGCAGACATCTTTAATTTCACCTCTTGAAGAAGTTGAAATGTATGGGTCTTATTTTTTCTTTAGAAAACAGAAATACTGGGCCTCGGAGATAACTCAGTGGACTAAGCGTCTACTTAGGCAAGCTCAGGGACCAGGGTTCTATCCCTGGCACCCCATGCTGCGCCAGCCCCACGCCCAGTCACATGTGTCACCACAGAGAACAGGTGGTGGTGCACACCTGTAATCCCAGTGCTAGGGAGGCTGAACAGGAGGATCACAAGTCCAAGCTGTGCAGTGAGACCCTGTACCAAATAAATAAAATAAAATTTTTAAAAAAAATTTTATTTATTTGTATATGTGTGTGTGTGTGTGTGTGTGTGTGTGTGTGTGTGTGTGTGTGTGTGTGTCCAGCTCAGCCCACCAGGGGGCGGGGCTGGCTGGCATGTGGTGCTGGGGGTTGCTAAGCTTGTTCTAAGTAGGTGCTTTAGACCACTGAGCCATCTCACCAGCCCCAAAATAAAATTTTAAAAAACAAAAGTACTCTAGAATGTCAGTGAGGAAGACTGTGCAGTGTCCAAGCAGGATTGTTTTCTGCAAGTGACTTTATAGTGTGGAAGGACATTCCTCACAGCTATGGTATGACGAGAGCACAGAGGTCCCAGGAGGCCTTTCAGGGCCTCAGCCTGTGTGCTGACGCCGCCATGCTTCCTTGGGACCATGGCGGGACTGTGTTGTCGGCAGTGCTTTCCCAGCTCAAAGCTGTCTTCACGTGGCGCTGTTAGATAGGTGCTGCTTTTTATCCCATTTCGTGTGGGGAGCTGAGGCAGCTGATGGAAGCTAAGCTTTGAACTTGCTCCACAGCGTAGCTGTGTGACTCAGCCCGCCAGCTCTGTGAGCCTGGATGCTCCCTTCTAAAAATCAAGGCCGTGAGTTAATTACACATTAAAGCAGAGGACTTTAGTATATCATGGTTCGATTAAGTTTTTTTTGCCATGGTACAAAAGTGATACATATTGAGTAGAAACTACTTTGAATTGTGAATTTGGCTCTCTCCACAGGCTAGCAATTTGTGGTTAGGTCCTTTCTCTTGAAGTAGGCAGTGTTCACAACAGCCAGCTGTAGAGTTCCCAGTTACCACTGGGAACACCGCCACGGTGTGCTGTGTTGCTGAGCTCTCTGTATTTGGTAGGTCATGTGTGCTAAATATATTTTTAGTTCAGGATATTTTCAACTTACAGTGTGCTCATCTGGGATACAACTCCATCATAAGTCCATAAGTCATCCCGGTCCAGCTTGCCCCTGCTGAGCCGGTGAACGAGTCTGGGCATGGTGGTGCACACCTGTAATCCCAGCGCTGGGGAGGCTGGAAACAGGAGGATCACTACAAGTCTGAGCTGCGTAGTGAGACCCTGTACCAAATACATAAATGGAAGAAAACCAAAGAAACAAACATATTAAGGGGCTGGGGAGATAGCTCAGTAGAATAAGCGCTTGGCAAGGGCCTAGTTCAATCCCCAGTTCCGCAAAAACAAAACAAAACAAAAACTCTTTAAGTCCGTAAGTTAAGGAATATCTGTAATTTTTGCCAGTAATGTTGTTTAACTTGTTTGCGAATGTTACAGTTTTTTTTATCACTCTATAATTGGTTTTCTTTCCTGGTGTTTTTCATTAACAGATTGTCAAGAGAGAGGACATTCAGCAGTTCTTTGAAGAATTTCAGTCAAAAAAGAGAAGAAGAGTAGATGGGATGCAGTATTACTGCAGCTAGAGTGAAGTATGGAGCTCCCTCATTCAAACCAGTGAAATGCCACTTACTGTTCCAGGAATAAAAGGGGCGCTTCTCACACTTGGCCCCCTGCCCTCCTCTGCGAGAGGCCCCCTCCTGCTCCAGCCTCTTTCCTTCTCCTTCACTTCAGTGGCCAGAGTGGGTGTGCTGATCTCACAGCCAGCGTCCTTCTTTAACTCCACTAAATGCAGCTCATTCCCCAGACTAGCTCTCCACCCCCCGGATACCCAGGGTTTTCTGCTTCTAAGTTTTAAGAAGTTTGATTCAGTTTTGAGAAAGAAAATTGATTTCTTTTAAAAGGATTTGTTCCTTAACTTCCGAATGTTGGTCTTTCACCGCAGAGCTGATGCCTTCCAGCCCCTCTGCAAGCATCGCAGAAGGCTCGCTTCCTGTCACCCTGAGCCTTTTCTGGTCCCCACCCCGTGATCGTGGTGCCTTGGGTCACAGCTTCCTCGGCCTGGCCTGCCCTTCTCCAACCTCCCTGCTGTCTGAGGTTTGGTCATGGCTTCCAGGGCTCTAGGAACTTAAAGCCTAGACTGCTTTACGTCCTGGAGGTCTGTCGCAGGCAGGGAGATTGATGATGGGGTTGAGGAAGCAAATCTTTGTTACAAATTTTACTAGTAAAATGAAGTTTTCACTCACAATTCTACTGGCACTCAAGTGTTTAGTACTGTAGTGCTCACAGGGCTTCCTGGGAAAAGTCTGCCAGTACTCGCCCCTTTTTGCTGCCTAGAAAATGACCGGGTATGACCCCTGTGAAATCTTGGTGGTTTACAAAGTCCTCTGGATTTCCTCATATTATCAGGGATATTCATAAGCATATATTTAAAATGGACCTATTTTGATACTGTTCTGTTATGAAAGTGTTGTTAGAACCCCAGTAAGTTATTATCTTTCCCCTTGAATCTGCTGAAGACACACAGTTCCTGACTTAGCTACTTGTAGTGAGCAGGGACAGAGACTTCCCTGCTTGGAAGAGACTGTGGGAAATTCCAAACAAGGCCCTGGGCTGCACGAATGACAAGTTTGTGTACATAAATGTAATGTCCATAGCCACTTCCCGATGACTGAGATCTTCCTCTGAAGATCCTCATGGAATGTTGTATAAAACCCTGTTGTTGAGGGGAAGTCCTTTCACTTGGTAGGAAATCTCTAAAGCCCTTCAGTCTGCCTGAAAAACACTTCTGGGAACCCAGACTTTCCTGACGATAGGTGACACTCTGAGGCATCTTAGCAAAAGCATTAAGGGCTTTGGGGCCACGTGTCTGTTTATGTTCCCTGGTGTCCCGCGCAGCTGTGCAGGACTGCCTACTAATCTCTAGACAAGATCAGTGAGATCTCTGACAAGTCAAGGCCTCAGAGAAATGGTCCAAGTCCTGCTTGCTGGTGTTTGGGCTCCTAATTACAGGTGCTCCTGAAGACCAATGTGTGGGGCCAGAAGGTCTGGTTGTGGGAGACGTTTGTGTGCCCCGAGCCGGCCTTGGGGAGAGGGCTCAGTTAAAAAGCTCAGGGTGTCTGCAACAAGTCTTCCAGATGTCTGAGGATGCACTGAGCTCCTCCCGCCCAGTTGGGCACTCGCGCACCATCCCCTTCTGAGTTTGTATCTTCCCTGGCATCTGACTTAACTCAGAAAGTTCCTCACTTCTTGGACAGTTCAGGACTAGGTCTCTGGGGCAGCAGCACAGAGCAGCACAATTGTACAGCTCCCCCCCGGTGCTGAAGGGCTTGTTTCTGAAAGTACTGCTCCTTCTTTTACATTAACCAGAAAACCTCTTTTTTTTAACCTGTTCACAACTAGTTTTCTTATTGACTACATATAGGACTGTCTCTTCTTGTAGAGACTGATTTTGGCCAACATGTGGCAGTTGATAATTAATGCATGTTTTATGCAAAATTAAAGTATGGTATTAGTTGCTTTTAAGAAATTCTGGCATTATGCATTTTTGTAGAAATTGTTACTGGGCTTATACTTACATACTTAACAGCAATCAAGGTTCTGTAAAATTTAAATAAAATTAATTCAGAGCAGTTGCTTTTCTGATCATTCTTAGCCTTGCATCTATACTGCCTCCCTCTGAGGTTACTAGAAAGTGACCTTTCCACCCTTGTCGCCATCTCCCACTTCCTCTCAGGGCACCTGTTCCGCAGCCTTGCCACAGCACCCTTGACAGCCCTTCTGGGTGCCCCTCCCCCTTTCGCTCCTCGGCACTGGCCCATGGCTCCTGCCACTCCCAGCTCCCCTGCCTTGGCTGCCTTAGGCCTCACGGTTCCTAGCAGCTGAGAAGCGGTGCCATTAGCCCAGCTGAAAAGGTCTCCAGCCAGCCCATTTCCTTTCCCATCTGGCACCTTTGTGGGTCAGAGTGCTGCTGACTGAGAATCCGCTCTTCTTCCTGCCTGCGGTAACCTCTTAATTATGCAGAGATGGCCTGACACACTGTGATTGCTAATATGCATAGAGCTGTTTCACTCAAATATATTGTACTCTCCTATCCATGCCTTCCCCATTAAACCACCGACATGATGACCTCCGTGCTGAGGCCAGAAACTGCCCTCCCTGTGCACCACCCTCCAGCAGGGGCTGGTAAATGACCACCAGGATGCATACACACCAGCTTGCTGAGTCCCTGCCACGGCTGGCTGTTCATGTGCACAACCACATTGAGTCTTCACCATGACCTAAGGGGTAACGTGCACCCCCCCACCCCCCCACTTTTCAGATGTGGAAACAAGACTCAGAGGGATCGAGGTTGCCAAGCTAGTCAGTGTCCATCTGCAGAAACTGGGCACTTACTCCACTGACCTGGCCTCGGGGAAGAGGCTAGCTGGAGCGGCTGGGAAGATGCTGATAAGTCAGGGTATCATAGTTGCCCGGGGGTGAGAGAGGCTCTGTCTCCTGGTTTGGTTTTAGTAACAAAATTGGACTCTGCCAGCACCTAACCTGTGACTGGGGGTGGGGCCCGGGATCAAGCCCTGAAGTAGCATGACTCCAGTGCGGCTTCCACATGTGTGCTGCTGCAAACAGAAGGTTCCCAGGAATGGGGCTGATCTTTGTCCACTAGGAGTGTCACAGCATGGGAGGATGAGGGAGACGGTGGCAGCACAGTGAGGTGGGGCTCATGACTAGTGCCTGAGGAAAGGAGAAGGGAGGGGTAGCTCTCAACACCCAGCCCTTCCTGGTGCAGGAGGAAACCCGAGGCCTCCAGCAGGCCACCACGATCCCTGTGTGGCTGGATGGGCCTGCTTGCAGATCCCACTGGCTGGTAGTTGCTGCTGTTGTTTCTTCATCTGCCTAGTTGGAACACTGGGTGAGGTAGGGATCGGGTTGTGGTGCTGAGTGCTTGCTGAAGGTCACTTATAATTCCTGCATAGCAGGTGAGGAAATGGAGCCCCAGGGAACAGGTAACTGAGCCAGATGGGATGCAGCCCATCTTAAGTGTCATCAGTCTGATGAGGGATTTTGCTTTGCTTGAATTTTTGTGATACTGAGATTAGAATGCCTCTAGAACACCCCTCTTATTTTTCAGACAAGGTCTTAGTGCCCCGGTTGGCCTTGAATTTGGGATCCTCCTGTCTCAGCTTCCTCCTGAGTAGCTGCGAATATTGGGATATATTAGTGTGACCAGGTAGTGAGATTCTTTTTTTTTTTTTTTGGGCAGATGCTGAATTGGTGAAATAATCAGGGTGAAAACTAGAACACTGTACACCAAGCTGTGAGAGGAAGCACATGCTAAGCATTTAAAAATGACTCTTATGAGCACCCTTCATAGAGCAAAGGGTCCCTTTTCAATCCTCTCTTGTCCTTGGGGGCAGTCTGCATCATAAGCATCACCTGAATGTTTGTGACTCAGCACCCAATTAGATCTTTAGGCTTCACCAAAGGAACAAATTTAATATTAGAAATATGATTATATAGGACAAATAAAGGACTTACTAGGTAGGCTTATGATGGCTGCCAGCAGGATCAGAGGTAGAAGAGTACAATACAAGATAGCTATCTGCATGCTGGAACCAGTCAAAAGTCAAAGGCCCAACTGGGCATGGTGGTGCATGCCCGTAGTCCCAGCTCTTGGGAGGCTGAGGCAGGAGGATCATTGTGAATTTGAGGCCAGCCTGGGTTACCACTGGACAGGGTCCAATCAATTCCAAAAGAGAGGAGAAGAGGACCTCAATTTACACTAACCACAGGGTAAGTTGTAGGTTCACTGACTCCACAGAAAAATAAATCAAGATGTATCAATGGGAGGCATACTGGTTTTGTGGCAAGGTCTCACTGTGTCATTCAGGTGGGCCTCGAGCTTGTGGAGATCCTCCTGCCTTGAGTCCAAGGCCAGCCTGAACTACATAGCGAGACCCTGCCTCAGAGGAAAACGAAACAAAATAGGTAAGAAACAAAGGAAGTCAAAGGCCTTGGAGCTTGCTGCAGAGTTCAGCGTGAGTCTATGCAGGGTCTGTGCTGGAAGCCTGAAGGAAATGTATAGTTTCCAAGGGCAGCGTCAAAGAACGGGGCTCTTCCAAAGAAAAAGGCAGACTTCCTTCTTTTCTCCCTTTTTACTCTGTGATGGTGCAGCAGGGTGAGCTGGCTACCAGGCCACACCCCCATGGGTTCATGCCCCACATCTGGGGTGGGCCTTCTCTCCTTGGTTTGCAGCCTACAGTTCGGGGTGAGCAACCACAATGCACCGAGGTTTACTCGTCTGCTAGGTGGTTCTTAGCCAGTGAAGTTGTCATCACAATGAATGAGCACACCTTGTGAGTGGCCACAGTGCAGCAGGGCAGGTTCCATGGCCACAACTCAGTTCCTGGCAGTGAAAGAGAAGGGGCCGAAAAGAAATGAGTGCTCGTGAGGAATGCTGGTGTTCCTGTTATGAGGACCTCGGCCAGGAAGAATACCAGCTGGCATCGGAAGGGTCTTAATGATACAACAGTCCAGTAAACTGAGGGCCCTTCACAACATCAGATGCCTGGCAGGTATCCCCAGTTATTACCGGAGAGTCCAATGAATTCCAAAAGAAAGGAGAAGGGGACCTCAATTTACGCTAACCACAGGGTAAGCTGTAGGTTCACTGACTCCATCACAGAGAAGTCTTCAAGATGTATCAGTGGGAGGCATATTGGTTTTTGTGGCAAGGTCTCACTATGTCATTCAGGTGGGCCTCAAACTTGTGGAGATCCTCCTGCCTCACTCTCCTGAGTGCTGGGATTACAGGCGTGCACCACCATGCCCAGATAAAGAGGTTTATGAGGAAAGCTAAGGTACATACTCAGTACACAGTGCAGGCCCTCAAGAGCGTAACAGTCTGGGGAAGCTCTCCTGTCTTAATGACCAAGGAGGACACTGAAGCAAACTGCCCCAGTCCACAGGGGTGCAAGGGGGAGCAAAGGGCAGCAAGGAGGGCCAGACAGTGGCTGCTCAAGCCTGCTCCACCTCCAGCCACTGGAGAAAAAGAAGTCAGGCACTCCTGTCTCGAGTACTGCAAGGGAGTCCCTGGAGAGCCGGCATGGCAGATGCAGGCTCAGCTGACTGCCGTGCTGAGAAGGGCACCGCCCCGGTGTCCCAAGGAATGGTGAGAGGATGCCTTGGGTCTTTCAGGGGTCACCACACCTGGACTAACCAGGGTCCCCCAGGAGGTTTGGGTGGGTCTGTCAGAACATGGAGAAATGGGAAAAACAATTGCTTTAATTTAGTTCAGTCTAGGAGGTGGAAGACAATTTTGGTGCATCTGATAGAAGGTTCCAGAAAGGGGGAAAGTCTGTGTCTGTATGGGGCAGATGGCTGAGGATTTGTAGGAGGAATGGGAAGTCCACCAGGTTCTGGAGCTGAAATCAAGATTGAGTGAGGCCCACAAAAACACCCAACCACATGATCAGCGTCACATAAAGTTCAAGCAAGGGCAGTTGGCATAAAGCCAGCAGGTGAAAGGTGAGTTACACAACCCACTCCCATTGTGGCTGCCAAAGAGAAATCCCTAAGCATGGACCGACAGAGCCATGGTGGAGAAGTGAGACCAGGCCAGAAGGAGCCAGGATCTTGGGGCTCTGAAGGGCCTCAGGAGTGATCAGGAACTGGCAACATGGATAGGGTGACCAAGAGAGGGACGAGAGCCCTGCCTGAGAAACAGCCAAGGATCTCAACTCACTTGCCTTTGTGCTTTATAGCAAGGGATGGTGGAGTCTGCAAATTGTGCCTGAGGGGTCTGGCAGGAGGTCCTAGATGATTCTGTATGAGTTGTCTCATAGTGACACCGCCGCCCAGCTTCTATCCTCACAAACTCTTCTGTCCTTACCACCTCTAAGGTACCTACTAAGTCATCTATGGAGACCTCAGACTTCTGTCCGTCACACCCAGCTTCTCTACCAAGCCACTCTGACCAAGCTCTCCCTTTCCTATGTGGGCAGCCCAAAGCATCTTGGGGGCCCTGCCCTGCCAAACCTCTGAACAGCAGCCACAGATCACTGTGGGGGACTGGAGGAGCTGGTCCTTAATCTTTTTCCTTTAACTTGAAGAGATATGTAATATAAAAATTGAACCACAGGCTGAGGGTGTAGCTCAGTAGGATAGCATGTACTTGGCATGCTCAAAGCTCTGGGTTCTGTCAACAGGAAAAAAAAATCCTCTAAAAACAGAAACAAAAAAAAAGGAAAGGACACAGAAATCTCAGCCCCATAGACCTCACAGATCCTTGCAAAAATGTTATGTTCATCACACGTTTATTACCCTTTCTCCCATCTCCACAAATACAGGTATGTGCAGTTTTGTGTACTTTACCTTATGCTCTTTATTCTGAAGATTGTATTTCTTCCTGTTGAACAGTCCAGGCTTGGCACCAAGAACCACTCTGCTGATTTCCTTTCTCTCTGTG